TGTCATTCTGGGGATACGCTCTAGAAACTGTACCTTTCACACTTAACAGGGTACCATCAAAATTCATAGACAAGACACCACATGAGATGTGGACCGGGAAGACTCCCAGTTTGTCTTTTCTAAATATTTGGGGTTGTGAAGCATTTTTCAAATGACTTATGTCAGACAAGCTTACACCTAAGTCAGATAAATGCATATTCGTGGGATATCCGAGGGAAACCTTGGGATATAGCTTCTACAACCGGGAAGAGAACAAAGTGTTTGTTGCTCGGAACGGGGTTTTCCTTGAGAAAGAGTTTCTCAGTCGGGAGGCCAGTGGGAGGACTGTCCGACTCGAAGAAATTCGAGGACCACTCGGGGACGGCTCGGTTGGTGATGAGATCATATCGGAGTTAGTCAGGGAACCCATAGTGGAAGCGGCACCAGAACCACAGAGGTCGGAAAGATTGCGCAGAGTGTGTGATGTGTTGTTGCTAGAAAGCGACGAGCCAGCCACGTATGCAGAAGCGATGGTGAGCCCAGATTCTGAGGCATGGCTGGAGGCCATGAGATCCGAGTTAAAGTCCATGGATGAGAATCAAGTCTGCGACTTGGTTGATCTGCCGCCTCACGTAACGGCCATTGGCTGAAAATGGGTCTTTAAGAAGAAAACCGATGTGGATGGAAATGTTCAGATCCACAAAGCTCGGCTTGCCGCTAAGGGTTATGGAGAAGTTCAAGGAATTGACTATGACGAGACTTACTCACCGATAGCGATGCTGAAGTCGGTGAGGATCGTACTAGCTATAGCTACATATTTCGATTATGAGATATGGCAGATGGATGTCAAGACGGCTTTCCTTCATGGAAATTTAATCGAGGACGTGTATATGATACATCCCGAGGCTTTTGTCGATCCGGCTAGCGCTAGTAAGGTATGCAAGCTCAAGAGATCCATTTATGGGTTGAGGCAAGCATCTCGGAGCTGGAATATTCGTTTTGATGAGGTCATCACTGGTCTCGGCTTCATCAAATGCGAAGAGAACGCTTGTTTATACAAGAAGTTAAGTGGGAGCTCGATAGTGTTTTTGATCTTGTATGTGGACGACATATTGTTGATCGGAAATGATGTTTCGATGCTGAACTCGGTCAAGGAGCCATTGAATGGCAAATTTTTGATGAAGGACCTTGGTGAGGCAGTGTATATTTTAGGCATTAAGATCTATAGAGATAGATCGAGGAGGCTGCTCGGCTTAAGCCAGAGCACATACATAGATAAAGTGTTGAAGCGGTTCAACATGAGTGAGGCAAAGAAAGGGTTCTTGCCACTCTCACATGGTATAAGGCTAAGCGAGACTCAGAGTCCTTGGACATCTGAAGAGCGAAGGAGGATGAGTAGGATTTCGTACGCCTCAGCAATCGGATCCATCATGTATGCCATGATATGTACAAGGACCGATGTTGCTTTTGCAATAAGCCTAACAAGTAGATACAAGGCCAACCCAGGTGAGAGTCGCTGGGCAGCGGTAAAGACTATTTTGAAGTACCTGAAAAGGACTAAAGAGATGTTCCTAGTTTATGGAGGCGAGGAAGAGCTTGTCATAATGGGTTACGCTGATGCTAGTTTCCAAACCGACAAAGATGATTGTCAATCACAGTCCGGAGTCGTGTACGTCATGAACGGAGGAGTAGTGAGCTGGATGAGTTCCAAGCAAGATACGATGGCCGATTCTACCACAGAAGCCGAATACCTTGCGGCTTGTGAAGCTGCAAAGAAGGTGTTTGGATCCAAAACTTTCTGGATGATCTTGGTATTTTCCCAACCTTGGTAAACCGTTGGACCTTTATTGTGATAATTCTGGTGCCATCGCACAAGACAAGGAGCCGAGGAATCACCACAAGGTCAGACACATAGATCCGAAATATCACCTAATACGAAAGATCCTAAAGAATGGAAATGTAGAGTTATGCAAAATTGACACAGATGCAAATGTTGCAGATCCGTTGACTAAGCCGCTTCCACAACCCAAGCATGAGGGGCACATTAGAGCTATGGGCATTCGATGTCTATTTGATTGACTCTAGTGCAAGTGGGATACTGTTGGAGATATGCCCTAGAGGCAATCACGTATGATGATATTTCCTATGTGTTTTCAATAAAGATAGTCCTTGGACATTATAAATGATGTGTATCAGCAAGTACGTGACTTGTTTGTGGGACTATACATTGTATGATGATTGTACTAAAAGGTCCCTAGTCGAAAGGGTTGTGTGGACGTGCAGCCGATAGACTAGCATATGACACGGTCGATGGCTTGGTCTCACTAGACATGGAGCATTCGATGCTAACCGGATAATATGGACTCAGAAGGATCTGGTCAAATTCGACGTAGTCGAATCCGAGTCGATATAAGGTCCGAGTCGGACAGACCCAACTATGAGACGCGGCAATATGTCATCTGTGAGTCTCTAGTACAACATACGTTCTATATCCTAAGACCTGAGCTGGCACATGTACTCGAGATGGTGACAGACCTGCTTTGGACCGACCAAATGCTACTCCGTGACTGGGTAGTTACAAAGGTAGGTTTCAGGCTTGTCCAAACACATGCTGTGAGACATGGTCGAGCAAGATGGGATTTGCCCCTCCGACCAGGAGAGATATACTCTGGGCCCTTCGTATGATCCGACCAGGATAAGCATGGCCAAGCGACAAGGATTATGAGATAGTCCGATTTATGGTCGGGATCACTGGAACGAGAAAGAGGTCGGGCTAGCACAAGGATGACAGACTCGCCTTGAGCCCGACAACATATATCGTGTGGCAAAAGGAATGAAAGTGTGATGTACATGTTCGCCAACCGGCTTCATTGTCTACTTGGTGGTCGGCACGCCTTGCTAGAGGCTGCTACCAGCCGAGCAGGTCGGAGGTGATCCGACCTGCGACCAAGCCGACTTGAACCTAAGGGGTCGCGCGCTTAAGGGAATGAACTTGTGAGGTCGGATCGGACTCCACGAGTCAGATATCATCCTACTCGGACTCGGATCCCGGCCGAACAGATTTTGGGCTTTAGGGTCCGTGTGAGGCCCAAGTGTTGAGCCCGCGACGGATGCCTATATAAAATGGAGGTGCGGCACACTCATTTGGTTGATTGCTTCGGCGCTATCATTAGGGTTTGCATGTGTTGCAAATAGCCACCTCCACTCGCCGCCGGTTGTGTGATCGGACCTACCAGTCCACCGCACGATGTTCCTCCTACACGCGCGTATACCGTTAAAGGCGGTGCACTTGCGCCGCTCCGGTGAACCTGTACGAGGATCTGGCGACGGACTGTTCGAGGGAGATCGGACGAGGAGGAGACGAACCACGCGGACGCGCTGCCCCAACTCTTCTTCCGTTGCACGGCACTGCGCACCTAGTGGTAACAATATGTGATCTATTCCCGTAGCATGTTCTTGGTTGTTATGCGCCTAGGAAAATTTTAATTTGCAGTCGACGCACCCTACCGTAGAACCCAACATGGTTTTCACCCTTGAAATCACGACCCGGTACTCAGAGGAGCACCACCAACAAGGAAGTCCTCCAATGTTGTCGCCCCCACTTGCGGAGGCTACTACTGCATGTGACATATCACCAGGCTCACAAGAACTCGTGTCTCGTCTGGACGGAAACATATCCCGCAAGCCAAGTCTGAACAACTGCCTATGAAGCCAAGTATTCATCGCATCTAAGACCCCGCCTTCGCCACTTGTAGGTACTTCAATTACGCCATGGCATTTTCTGCATGTGTTCATTCCTTGAAAATCTTGGTACAGACATGTCCCAAGGTGTCAAAATAACAGAGTTCGCGATACCCTGGTGCACCTGATTATGCTGATGTTGCGGGTACGCATGACCGAAGCCTATCCAATCGAGGTGTCCAAAGAGCGCCATATGCGACTGTCCTTGTTTTCCTTCGAAGAGAAGTCCGGAACTTGCCATGGCCAAATTGAAGTTCCCAGGTTCTCGATTGCATGAGCTTGTGAGCAACGAGACCGAGCAAGGGAAAACCATCTGACGACGAGAACAACATGACCGTGCGAAAGTTAAGCCGGCTCAATAGCCTCCACCATGCCAGATTTCGGCGGGTCGCTTGGGCTGAGCAAGGTAGAAACCGGCGTCAGGCCTTGCCTTTATCAGCGCATCCCAGTTGGCTACGACTCTGAAGCAGGATGAAAATCCATCACGCCCCCTAGATCTGTTTCGAGGCTGTCTCAATGGAGGAGAGCTCCCATGCCAAGGCGAGGCGAGGCACAGCGCCGACCCTCCTGGTCGTGAGCACCTCCGTCCGAGGCGGCTGACTCCCAGGCGCGAAGGGAAGTCCACCCAGCGGCAACATGCTCTAGGGTTTGGGGTGATGGAAGAAAGGGGGAAGGAGCGTGAGCTGCGAGACCGCCTCGCCGCCGCCACCCACACCGGACCTTTGCCCGGCAGGGACGACCGGCGGCGGCGAGGGGGAAGTAGCGAGGAGGGAGCGCCGGCAGCGAGAGGATTGGGAGCCGCCCGTGACGACGCGGGGGCGAGCAGATCGCTATTTCTCAATCGGTGCTAATTCCTTCGTACCTAAGCACATATATAGTTTCAGATTGAGGTGGTAGCCATGTCTAATTCAAATGCATATGAAGCTCAAAGAGGAGTGAAGTCGGCTGAGTTTGTATGGCGCATGCATGTGTCCTTGTCATGGGTCCACTAGGAGTTTGAGGACTTGGGGGTGAGCTATGAGATGCCCCGCAGCAGAGAAGGAAGCAAGGAAATACTTCCTTCGTTCCAGAATGGATGATACGAACTTTATGTCAGAGGAGGAGGGATGGAGGGAGAAGAAAGCAAAGCCACGGCCCATCCCATCTAAGCTTTGCCGGGGTGGCACTTTCACCGTCCAGAGCGCGCTTCCTCCCATCCCCGCCTCCACATTTCGAAACCCGAGTCCCAAAACCCTCGTCCGCCGCTCCACCCACTCCGGCAGCGGCGGCCACCCGTCACGATGAATCACGGGGACCCTGGACACCGCTGTAGGTGTTCCCATGGACCGCGGTGTGCCGGTGCGCCGCCCCAGGAAGGCCTCGCGGCGGCGGCCCTGGACACCCGTGTGCGGCCCCTCCCCATGGGCGCCGAGGCGGAGTCCATGCTGCGGCAGATCGGCGCGTACACGCCCAACCTCGACGGGCACACGGTGACCCTCCTCTCCTGCGTCCACTCCGTCCTCCCTCCTCCGCCCCTCGTCTCCAACCACGCCGCCCTCTCCGCCCTCCTCCCCCCGCGCCAGGACGGCGGCGACGACCGCATCAGCGACCTCCCCGACAAGCTCCTCCGCGACATCGTCTCCCGCCTCCCCGTCAAGGACGGCGCGCGCACCGCCGCTCTCTCCTGCCGCTGGCGCGGCGTCTGGCGCTCCGTGCCGCTCGTCCTCGTCGACTCCGACCTCCTCCCCGTCCGAACCGGTTCGGGCCTGCAGGTCGCGCACGCGGACGCGCAGCGCGTCGCCTCCGCCGTCACCCGCATCCTCGAAGCTCACCCGGGCCCCTTCCGCTGCGTCCACCTCATCTGCAGCTTCCTGGACAAGTGCCCGGACCTGCTCGCGCGGTGGCTCCAGCTCCTCGCCGTCAAGGGCGTCCAGGAACTCGTCCTCGTCAACCGCCCGTGGCCGCTCAACATGCCCATCCCTCCCACCTTCTTCGCCATGGCAACCCTCACCCGCCTGTACCTTGGCGTCTTCGAGTTCCCTGACACGAGGATCCTCCCGCGCGCCGCGTCATTCCCACACCTCCGCGAACTCGGCCTCTGCTGCGTGCAGATCCTGAGGAGGGAGGACATGGACTTCATCCTCGCCAGGAGCCCTGTGCTGGAAATCCTATGCATCCAAGTGAACATGCTGATGAAACACCTGATCCTCGTCAGCCGCAGCCTCCGTTGCGTGCAGATCATCGAAAGCATTGATCTGAGCATCGCACTGAAAGACGCTCCGAACCTCGAAAGGCTCATCATCTGGGCAGCAACGGTCCGCGATGGCGTGCCCAGGAGTGTCAAGATTGACCATGCCCCTGCACTAAGCTTACTTGGCTATCTGGACCCGGAACGGCACAGCCTAGAAATCGGCAACACCGTCATCAAGGTGCATAAAACACCTTCAAGTTTGTGTTTTGTTCGATTCGCCAATGTAAATGCGTTAACTCGTCTCTGAAAAATGGAAATTTGGTGCACTGCAGGCTGGGACAACGGCGAGTCCGAGCACAATGGTCCCAAGCGTCAAGATCCTCGGCATAAGAGTGTGCTTCGGAGTCCGCAACATTGCTAAGATGCTGCCCTGCTTCCTCAGATGCTTTCCCAACGTCGAGAGGCTGCATCTTGAGGTGACACCACTACCACTTACGTTGGCATCAATTTCCATGTTTGTGCACTTGCAATCATCAATTTATATTGCTAACAATAATGCTTCCATTTAGAGCCAAAGCTGTAGCTTTTCTTTGCAGAAATGATAAATCCCGAATGTTCAGGATTTGCCCATGCAAATCAAACGTTTTTTTATGGCAACTTTAGTTGACGCGAGGATAACAAGTTTTTTTTTTGAAGGTGAGGATAACAAGTTTAGTTGACAAGCACAACAATTTTCTGACAAAGTACAAACTGAGTGCGGAATTGACATGCTTACCAACTAAACTTGCAATCGCTCGCGTATATAAATTGCCACAAAAAACGTTCGATCTGCCATGGCCCGAACGTTTGGGACTTATCGGCGTCCTTTCTTTGAGATGAGCGGAAGTTCTCACTGATTTACTTCATTCTACAGTCCAACGAAACTGATGAGCCCACCGGCAAGCTCAACAACAAGTTCTGGCAGGAGGTCGGCCCTATCGAATGCGTGCAGTCACACATGAAGCTGATGGTCTTCTACGGCTTCCGAGGGGAGCGGGGCGAGCTTTCCTTCCTCAAGTTCGTCCTGGAGAGCGCACTGGTGCTGGCGAAGCTGGTGATCGTGTTCACCAAGGGGAGCTTCACCTCAATGGCAGAGGCCAGCTCCAAGGTGAAACCTCTGTTTGCTGCAAAATGGGCCAATAAAGACTGCTCACTGGTGCTCTTGGAGAGTGTGTTTCAAGCAGGGGAAGACAAGTGGTTGCTCAACTTCAAAGCAGGGTCTGATTTCTCTACAGGGGACCCATTCACGCGCACCGCTGCTCTTCGTGGCTGCAACTTTTAAGGAGAAGCCGGGTGTTTGCGGAAGATTGAAAAGATGTTTTGAGTTCTCTACCAGGTGAGCGTGATTCCAGGGAAACAGATGGTTAGTGCTATGTTGCAGTCTACGTGCAAGGCACTGTTTTGGATCGTTGGCTTGTGTTTTTCTTGTCAGAGTTCCTTGATTTTTATTTGCCTGGCGACCTTGAGATGTTGATGCATAAGTGTTGCTCAAATGCAGTCTCTGTATGGTATATTTATTTTGCTTTGGCCTGACGTTGCTCATGTTAGAACTCAAAATTTCTGCTGATTGTGTCACTGAATGCTAGCAGACAGAGATATATTCGTGAGCTATTTCATGCTTTCCATCGAATGTGTGTTCCATCTGATGTACCCTGGTTAATTGTGCCCGTCTGGAATGTTAAATTATCATCAGAACTCATCTGTCTTATGTAGTATTTGTCTATGCTGTTATGTGTTATGTGCACTAGGTATCATTTGCATCATACATGCTCTGTTCACATAACTAGGGATTCAGATGAGTCGTGCATCGGAAACGACTTGTATTAGAATTGCTATCTATGGTAACATCTGAAAGGACCAAGCCAACATATCAGTGTACCCAAGTAAGTCTAAACTTGATGGGTGTCGCCAACCCCGAGATATGCAATGGTTGTTGGATTCGAGTACTAGGTAACAAATGAAAAATAAGCTCATTAGAAAAAATCTGCTGCAATTGAGAGCAAGATGAATCTACTACACCGATGAAGTAGAAATCATAAAAGTAATGAAATCTGAGGGTTAACACGATAGAACAACATCTGATATATTATGGAGAACAAGGCTGATATTACGAAGAACGATGCCTTTACACCGTGTTAGCCTGCCATGTGAGCCACTGAGACTACGAAACAGCAAACTCTTTTTCTTTTCTGTGGTGGTCACTATATTGGTAGTATATATGATGATCAGCATTGCTGCTACTGTGCAAAGGGATCGTTAGTTGTGTGCTTTGACGGGGATCTTTGCGGGGTTGGGTCTTGATGCCACAGAGACCTTACAGGCGATGTTGGTGCTTCGGCTCACCATACTGCTGCCCTTCAAAGAACTCGTTCAAGAGTTTGTCCACCAGTTCGGGGCTGTACCTGATGTACTTCAGCGGATTCTTGCCGCTCCCAACAAGATTGCTGCATGGCAAAATTGGTAGCACAGTAGTTATTATTAAGTACTACCTCCGTCCCAAATTATAAGACATTTTTTAGGCTATTTTAGCCTACCAAAACATCTTATAATTTGGGACAGAGGAAGTATATCAGAACAGCTGAGATCATTCTAAGTTGAATGGAGTCCTGGAGAAGATAAGGAAGTGTTGTTCTCCGTAGTATAAAGTTTTGGGGCCCACCCCGTCAGTCAACCATAAATGATGGGTGCTTTAGAGGACAGACAAAATAGAGCTAATTTTGTAATTCTGGAACTGCAATCATGTGATATAGCCGACTAATCAATTCAATGGAAGCTAATGGGTGGAGTTCAGCACAACAACCAAAAATTAATAGGAGATCATGCAAAGTGATTGGTGCGGTGACGTACCCAAAACGTTTTATGAAAGATCGATAGGCTGGTAACAGAACCTCAGCTATAGCAAGCCTCAAGGATTCACGCAATTCTTGATCAGGTACAATCCATAGAGATTGCTTCGCATGAAGTTCTTCAAATTGCGTATTGAAAGCTTTAAACCTGCCATGGCAAAAGCCTGTAGTCTTAGGGCTAATGATTCTTCTATCATGATTATCCCAAGCAACAAACCAAACTGCCAAGGTACTGACCGTTCTTTGATCACAGCTCTTGAAACTCCACTGCTGTTAAGGTCTGCTGGTGTCGACGAACCAGTGCTGCCTGGCGCACCTTGTACGGAAAGTGCCTGAAGAACCTGAAAGAAATAAAACAGAAGCAGTATTCAACTGTTAATTGATATGTCCAATCATGTAAATACAGCACGACAATGATGTTAATTACTGAAGCACAGTACATGGAAGAGAACATTGCCAAACAAAGATAGATACTAGCAACCATAGTAAAGCCATGGACAGGTGTGTGTGGAAGCTACCTATCCATGTGCCAGAACCATGAGTTGTGACTAAAGGCTTTGTTGTTGTTGTTGTTGTAAGACGACGTGTGTACTAGAGTTACAAAAGGAATCCACAGACATTGACTCTTACTATGGTTTGGCTTCACAAAAATTCCTATTGGGATGTAAGCAACTGAACTTGACACAAAAATGCAGGCAGGTGGAGCACAACGTTGATGTGTCTAGATTTTCAGGCCGATTCCAGCGCACCGGGCTGTGGTGACTGGTGAGAAAGTTATGGGGGTAGGGTTGAGAGAATAGAGAGGATATAGAACAGAAAATTGGAGAGAGTCATACATACTCAATTTAATACTCCCTCCATCCCATAATGTAAGACATTTTTTGACACTACACTAGTGTCAAAAAACGTCTTACATTATGGGACGGAGTAGTAGAAGATATAAGGTCCCTTGTCCTTTCCTAATATGACAACACTTCCTAATGTGCCATAACTCCTAATTCTCCCTCAATTGTAATCCTAGTTCTGGCCAGACTCTTTTCCTAGCCGAATTCCTCCTCTACGGTATTATCTTGGATGCCAGATTTTGGAAGTCAATGCCGACGTTAACATAGTTGTTATGGTGTCCACAACAGTTATACTCTCATAAGTGCCAACAAACTGTGATATCTTAAACAGGTAACTCTCGATATTGCTTTCACATAAACTACCATTCTAATCGCAAAGGAATTACTAAGCAAAGAGTTAAAAAGACTATCGTGGTAAGGAAAAGATATCCATACATGTAACATCATGCAGCCAAAAAGAAAGGGGATATGATGAGGGTTCGATGATCCACAACCTTTGCCCAAGCAACACGTTTGTACTGATTGGCATTTTGCTGCACAATTCTACGGTGCCTCTGAATCCAGTCATCGCCAAGTATATCCTTTGCTTCTGATCTGTGGCAACACAAGAGATCACTAAGTGAGCAGATTGCCAGATTATTCTAGGATGCATTATCTATAGCAAAAAAAACAAGCATACCTGCGAACAGATCTAACCATATAGTGAACATTGTTCATAAGAAATAAGTGAGTTAGCGCAGGATCCTTATATTGTTTAGATTTTCCATCTAGGTTATTCTGTAGTGCTTGCATTATCCTCGTAGTAACAACAGCAAGCTGAGATTCTGTCTCACTACCAGTTTCGAATTCCTGAAACAGAAGCTTCAGCGTCGACTGATAACTGCTCATATGAAAATAACATTTGTTAGCGTGCTATACTGCTATTTAAATAACAGTAGCAGGAAGGCTACCAATAAATTAGTTTTTTCTTAGTTGTCAAATGAATAAACTAATACAAAAAAACTAAATGCAAGCCAAAGACATAGTAGAAAGTGAATATGCAAACTACTTTCTTGTTTACAACTCTGTATAGTTATCGACAGACTGCCTGCTACGATATTGGCAATTAAAATCATTTCTAAGACCACTAGCAGACAGGCGTTATGCATACTTTCTCTTCAGTGGAGATGAAGTTCAGAATAATTCTTGAAGGATATAAACATATTGCCCCAGAGTTAACTCATCATGGTTAGCATATCTTACTCGGATTTCGTGAAATTACTGTTCTACAGATGCATAAATTGACTACTAGATGAAGAGGGGAATACTTACTCAAATAGGAATTTAACATAATTAATCACATAGCTTGTCAGAGGATGCACAGTTCCATCTTGAACGATGGTCTTTGAAGCATCCTTTTCAACTGCCTCCTCAAAATCAGCGAAGGTTTCTTGAGCAGTTTGTGCCAAGCGCTTAGTCAAGCCCAATGCAGTCTCTCTCATCTCAGAGCAAGCCTTTCCTTCGAAAACCACCTCAATCTGATAACAAGTTCAAACAAAGACCGCGCTGAAATTTGGTAGTGCTCACCAAAAGCATCATAGCATAAGTTGAAAAGAAAACAACAATGACACGGAACCCCATGAATAAATCTGCAAGCAGAAGAAATTAAGCATTTGGGAAGGAAGGTACAGAAAATTGCTCCCCGAATACCTCCGGTTGAAGTTCACGCATTACTTCGTACATGTCTAGCAATACAAACAGCTTTTCAGGAGACCTTTTGCTTTTCGCAACAGCATCTCCAAAGCTGAGAAGAGTCACGACACTATTTGTTGCCATTTCTGCAAAACATTGGTCCTTGTTAAAGTTGCCACCCTCAAAAATCTGATCGCAGATTTTTCTTTCTCCAGCTAGTAGTAGTTTAACCTGTTCAAAAAGCATAATATATTAGGATGATTTTTTGTTTAAGTCCAAACTAGCACACACAATATTGACCTGTTCACAGAAGGGCCCTCACCGCAATACGCATAAACTGTATCCAGTTTCCAATCTTAGCCTCCAAAGCCTCCCATTGCATCTTTTGCACGTCATCTTTAGTAAGTTTTTCTACTCCCAGCTTCCGAAGGCTCGACTCTAGTGCTGAACCACGGGATTCTCTGAAGAAAGAGGATAAATTTAACTTGACTTTGCACAAGGTGTTAGTAACTCAGGAGTCAGGAGACACTGGACGGAAATCAAGAAAGGAAGTAGAAAAAGGAAATAGATTTGGATACCATAATCCAAACCTACCTGTAAATTTTGTAGCATGACTGTTGATTTCCAGCCTGAACCAACTGCTGAGCTATGTCATTCATGAGTGGCAGTATTCTTGGAGGAACTAGTGTCGGGGTCTTGTATACAGCAGTTTCCAAGCGTTTGGATGGATGGTCAGACTGGTTAGCATTCTCATCCTCGTCGTCTTTTGATGGCCGCAGAGACTTGGGTAGACAATCAAAGAGACGATCGGGCTCAATTGGTTTGCTGAAAGAACAGATAAACCATCGTAGACAACATTTTTTTACTGACAATAAGAAATGAACATGAATGTAGTTCTGGCATGAGTCTGCAATAAGAAT